CTAACAAACATAAATTCTCGGCGACTGACCCGGCCGATGGCTTCATTCTGAGCTGATGGAGTAAGATCCCTAAGCTCGCCAGACCCAATCCGAGCAGAATTATGAGAAACAGGATTTGCTGGGGCCCGCAAAGTTCTCCAGACCAGAAGCTGCACAACGAGCGAGCTAGAAACGATTGAAAACTTCCAACCCAAAGCCTTAAGCCTTGAAGTACATTTGTCAGCAAATGCCACGTCCACAGGGCCCCCGGACATGGCCTTGCCACAGCTGAGGTCTCAGATGGTCAAGAGCAAGTTCGCCACTCCCCTGAAAGCCAAGAGCAAAGCGGTCACTTTGGATGCAGAGACGCCGCCAAAGGACTCTCGAAAGGGCGACAGACACAAAAGCTGCTCCACTTGTCGACTATATGGCAGAGCACCTCGGCTGCATTTCTTCCTCTGCATGCCCGGCCGTCGAGTTCCATCTTTGCTGGCCTGCTTCGGTTCAGGTCTGTACACATCGGAACCAGACCCCTGTCAAGAAGGAGCCCAAGATGGAGCAGCCAATCGTCAAGACGGAGCCGATAGAGGACACCCCCAATCCAAGAGTCGCATTTCTGAATATTCATGTGAGAAACAACAACATGCTGCAAGAAGCTTACAGGACAAGCCAGAACTATCGCCGGACGCTCTCATCTACATTCTGGGAAATAAATATTTGGCCGCTCAGGACGATGGGCCGCTAAGGTTGGAGCTTCTCCCCCCGCAGAATTCTTTCGTTCCTCCTTTCTGAGGACCCCAAACCTGTCGATCCTGAGAATCTGGACGAAGACATGCGAAGGCCTCGCTTCCGTCCGACTTGAATTGCTGGTCCATTGTTCTTTGGCCGGTGTCGCCAGGTTGATGAAGTTGCCGCACTTCTTGTCCACGTCGGTCCAAGTTCTGAAGAGCAAGTCCAATTCCGATAGATACCAGAGCCTCGTGTCTCGGCACACTTGTTGGTTCCGAAATTAACCAGTATCGATCCTGCTGCTTGCGAGAAGGGGTTGTGCTCACAGGCTTCACTGATGGACGATCTCATCCCTCAGGCAGAAGAAATTGCTCAGGATGCGACAGCCTTGCGACGTGCTCAGATGGACTTTGTCGGCCGCACCAAAGACTTCATGAGCACGGCCATGGAGGACTTGAGGAAGGCAGTGCCGGAAGTCAGGCGACTCACTGGCGACGACCAGGATCCGCCTCCTTCCTTCAGTGACCCCCTGTTTTCATTCATGCAAGAGTTAGGCCCTTCTTTTACTGTTGTGACCGTGTCTTGTTCGCCTCGACCGCTTCTGCAGGACAAACCTGCCTTGAATGATTCCTGATGTTCCTGGACAATCGGCCTATCCCACCAGCGACAAGCACTTCGCCGATAAAGTTCACTTACTGTCGTCTGCGGCCTCAAGTTAGCAAGAACCGGGTCGCATGGCCTTTGTGCGGTGTGAGAGTTAGTGGGGGCACTGCTGGGCCACTCACACATAGACATACAGGCCTGACTGTGATTTCCGAGTTCGGCCGCTCGGTGTCTGCTGCCGGTCGATTCCGTATCAAAGCCAAGCAGGATATATGGGGACTTTCGTCCTGCGAAGCACGAGAAAAAGACGCACAAACTGCAGCTGCCTCCGCAACAGACCATCCACACGCATTCTTGCATCAGGCTTTGGAGGGTCGGCCAACGGTGTATACCCTGTGTGCTGCATGCGGCCTTGTTATTCCGTCTTCCATTTTGCTGCTTTGCATTCAATGCATCCTTGCCGTGCTTCGAGAGCATATCGGCTTTGATCCTTGCAAGCGCCATGCGGCGAATGAACACGAATGCCTCGCTGGCATCAGTCGCTTCCTCCCCCAATGCGGGCAGTCCGGGCAAGGAAAAACCGGAGCTCATGAGTGCCCTGGATTCCAGTGTTGATCGCATGAAGGCGGGCATGGTCGGATTCTGTTTTGAGCTGCTTCCTATTTGCAGTCCCATGCATTCTCGATTCAGGAGGATATGGCCGCCGGGATTCTGGCGAGCAAGAGGGCCAGAGAGAGACTCATGAATAAGGACAAGAAGAAGAAGAAAAAGTCGAAGAAGACTGCCAAGAAAAAGAAAAAATCCAAGAAGAACTCCAGCAGTAGCAGCAGCCAGGAAGACTCCAATTCGGAGTCAGATTCAGGCCGTTCTGATTCGGAGCCGGACGAGATGACTCAGGATTCCATCATGGAGGAGCTGAAGCTGCAGTTGGGTCTGAAAGGCAAAGATTTGAAGCTGAAAGACATGGTGTCTTTCGAGAACATGACCTGTGTTCCTGGGTTGCATGGATAAGCTGCAGCAGACATCCTTTGAAGCATCTTCATTCCCTGAGACTGTTGTTGTGCGATATGTTCTTGCATTGAGGAGCAGTTAATCTTCTTGATGGCGGAGTCACACAAATCTTTGGGCACTCTAACAATCATGGACTTTCACGAGCTTGGCGGAGAAGCCCGGTCGCTTGCACAGAAGAACATGAAGGGCTTGCAGCCACCGAAGAAGGCCTCCAAGAAAGACCCCCACAACGTCGATGCGAAGAAGATCTTTGTAGAGGCTCAACAGGTCTTTAACCTGGCGGAGAAGAAATGGAAGGACAGGATTCTGGCCGTTCTGGAGCATCTGGGTTGCATCGACGTTCAACCGTGTAATTTTGTCCGTCACTATGAATCCCAGTCTTCTCTGTGTCCCGAGGAAGTTGCTGAGCAAGAGCCGCAAGAACACGGTGCTTCAGTTCCAAACGGTCGTTCAGTTGAGGAAGAGTCTCTTCCCGAGGATTCGGGACAATGTCAAGGGATCCAAGCGCTTTCCCGAGCAAGTGCAGTCTTTGATTGAGAAGCTCAAGCGAGATGCGAAGGATGACCTGGAAAAGGTCGAAGCCAAGGTCATGTCGAAAGGGCCAAAGGCCGATCAGCGCAGAGACTCGGAGACGGGGGACGGTGGCCCCGCCAAAAAGAAGAGGCGCCGATCCAAGGGATCCAAGGGCAATCCTGACGAGGAATCCACAGTGGAGAAAGAGGATAGCGACGATGACGACGACGGGGACGATAACGACGAAGAGGGCTCAGATGAGAGCTCAACGACACAAGTCTTGCCCGGCGGTGGCCCACAGGTCGGAATCCCACCGGATGATTCCGACCTGTGGGCAGATCCGAAGTTTCAGCAGTTGGTGCCCGCCGTTCCCGCTCCGGCCGTTCCCGCTCCGGCCGTTCCCGCTCCCGCCGTTCCCGCTCAGGCCGCTCAGGACTCCGAATCTCGACTTGAAGCTCAGTGCAGCTGTGATCTTCCGGGTTAGAAATTCCAGAGGTGCATGCTGTTGCAAACTCGGCCCAGGCACTTCCTGATGTCCGCGAACGTTTGGCTGCTCAAGGAGTCCGAAGTGCCAGCGATCTCTTTGAGAAGATGCTAGCTGACGAGGCAAGACCTGTGTCCTACAATCATTCCGGAGCAGTGTCCTCACCTTTGTTCCATCTGGGCAGGCGATGTGCCAGGCCGTTCTGGACGCCATGTCCACCAAGCCCGGCCAGTCCTGAGAGCTTGGTTGTCACAGCTCTTGCTGAGGCGATTGTGAAGCGCCCGCCATCTGGGCTCTCCCTCTAGGTCGTCGGTGCTAAACATCGGCCGTTCTCTTCTGGTGTTCGGGAGATTTTGGATGACCCTGGTCTGTAGTGGTGGGTTCGACTAACTGAGGGCCTGTCAGCGACACACGTGCAAAAAAGAATTCCTGCGGGTCTGCGGGTTTTCTCCGCTGCTGCGGGTCTTCTCCGCTGCTGCGTGCCTTCTCGATAGATTTTTTTTTTCGGGGCCGGCTAAAATAATTGAGAAGACCACGTCACCGGGAGAAGACCTGATGGCTTGTTTACACCACAAACGCACCATGTGGTCTTCTCCGCGACTGCGTGCCTTCTCGTTTGTTTTTTGAAAACCGAACAGACGAAAAAAAAAATGAACCACACGAGATGACTGTATGACTTGTGGAAACTCCTGAGAAGACCTCCTCACTTGTGGAAACCAGCAGAAGGAATTGTCGGTTGTGCAGAGCCAGATGAGCTGAGTTTAGGCAGAAGTCCCGGGGCTGCAGTCTTTGCCGAGGTCCGACTGCCACGCATCGCACACCCTCGCCGGACGATTTGGTCAGGCCGCTCCGGTTCCCTGCTGGTTCCTGAGTTCCGGGTTGTGGGTTCTGAAGCTGCGGAATTCCACCACTTTGGGATTGGGGCCATTTGACTTTACCAGCCAGCCCAGGTTGGCTTAGGCAGGAACAGGACAGGCTTAATCTAGAGCTTGTCTGACAGAGCACAATTCCGTTGTGTGGAGCCCAGCTTACAGTCTCATATTGTACCATGTTTGCTCGGGGTTTTGTATGAGAGAGCGACTCTCTTATGGAACAATGGTAGCCTTGCTTCTGGTTGTGCATGCAACACATTGTCCTCGACAAAACTTAGGCTTGTGTCTATTCTGACCTGTTGTTGGTCCCTTCACGTAGGTTCCTGCATCCTGTGAAGGAGTAGTGCATACTGTTCTTGATCCGTGCATTCATGGGATGCATGGGCATCCGCACTTAAGGTCGGCAAACAAAATCGATGTGGACGTGTCTCCGACCTGGTCTCTAGCGAGGCCTCTGCAGATTCGAGAGACTTGTCGCCTTAGATTCAGTGGGAGGGCTCTAGAACCTGTGGAGTGTTATAGAAGCAAGAAGTCTTTTGCCCCAGTGGACAATACAATCCTCCTTGGCCACCCCCCTCCTCGTTGCAGCAGTACTTCCTGTTTTCGCCTCGAAACATGAATGGCTCATAGAGACACTGCAGTCGATTCGCTCGCATGCAAGCGAACAATTTGAAGCGGAGGCTTCGACACATGAGTCTTTGCCATGTTGAAATGATAATGGTACAGTCCAAGCAGGTCATGAGCAATTGTCCCATATAACATCAGAATGTGTAAGTAGAATTGATATAACACAGCCAATCCTGCCAAAAATGGAGGTTGAGCCGGCCCAAGGGGAGCAGCAGCGACAAAAGATCTTGTCTCTGTTTTTTGCAAAGAGGGCCGAGCCTGAAAAACTGCAGAAGCTCGTGGTCACCTTGCAGTTCGCGGCAAAGAATGCTCGTCCGCTGTCCACTCTGGACAATCAACCTCCTCTTGCTCCGATCCTGGATGAATGTGTCAGGGAGATCCGGCTAGCCGTCGACTTCCCCTTGCCGCCGGACGAGGGGGAGAGGGAAGCTCCAGCCCTGAGCCTGCTGGATCAGGAGATCGCAAAGATCGCTGAGAAGACTGCTGCCGGTGACCCGGACGTCGTGCAGCACTCGCTGGTTTTTCTGCGGCATCCGATCGCTCTGACATTCGTCAAGGTACCTTGCTGCACTAGGTGTAATTTGTCTCAGTTTTAGGGCTGCGAGGCCTGGAGAGCTCCGAGATTCCTGGTATTATGTCTTGCTTTTCCTCATAGCATCCCGAGGTCGTTCCTACTGCCAAGCACCACTGTCAGGGCTACGAGTATTTGGTCTGCATGGCAGACGTTTGGTGGATTCTGGACATGTCCGTGAGCTACTATGCATGGTTCGGAAAGAACCTACACAAAGGCCTTTTCTCGGAGGCTTCGCAGCGATGGGAAGTTTCCATGCGCCACTTGGTAAGAACAGACACATACAAGGGCGAGCATGAATCAGTTTACATGCTGCCTGGTGTCAAACACGATTGTTCTAGCTCGCTGGGTTTGCTGCTCGTGTTCGCTATGTTGACTGTCATTCGTGGCCTTAGCCTCGAGACACAGAAGAACATCATTGGATTCTTGCGAAAGATTTTCTCCCTGGTCAAGATGGATTGCTTGGCCCTCCTGCCGGACTGCAGCTTGCAGGTTCAGGAGGGATGTGTCAGCATCAAAAAGTTCTTCAAGAAGTTCGGAGCAGATGCTACGCGAATCTTGAACAAAAGGCCAGGGGTTGGCTTAAACTCCTTTGACACGGCCTCACCTTCTTTTTGCCCTTGCATTCAGGTGGGAAAGTGCCTTGGCACTGGGTCACTCCAGATCCAACTACCGGGGCAAAGTCGCAATTGCTGATGTTTGGTTCTTCATGTTTAGGCTGCAGCCAGAGGAAGCATTGCAGTGCATCCCGATTGAGCGGGTGCAGAAGCGGCTCCTCCACATCCTCGCACAGGCAGTCGAGAGGAGCTGTGCAGATGGTTCCATCAAGCTCCACACAAGCCCTGGACTCTCCGAGGATATGGACGGCCAATCTCCGTATTCCAGCGGCAATGCGAGCCGCACGGCCAACCTTGTTCGAGAACAGCTCTTGACTCGATTTCTTGCACGTGGCAGCGGATTTATAACAGGCATGCAGAACAAAGATAACAAGGACATCGTGCCGGATAAACTTCCAGGCACGAAATCCCGCAACCTTCAAGGGGTCGCAGCGGATCAATTTGTGACGGCATATTTTGCAAGCTCTGCAACTCTCCTGTTGGAGCGGCTTCAGAAACAGGTCTTCCGACACTTGACATGGTACGAAGATGCATCGTCCGTGGCCACTCACAATGTCCTGACCATCCACTGCTCTTGTGATGGCTTGATTATCACTTGTCCTCTGAGCTTGCTGCCGGCACTGAAGACCACCAAAGAGACCACGATCCAAGAAAACTTGGAGACAGTCGAGGCCCTGGGAGATTTGGCCTCTCAGAATCCAAAGAGCCTTCGAAAAAATCTCTGTAAGGACGAAAAAGTGTCCACCAGACAGAAGATGTTGGCCTTGAACCACTCGCTGCACCAGCTCGTTCGGTTCCGGTTGTCGGACGCTCTTCCGGCTCGGAAGCTCAGGCCAGTCAAGGAGGGCGAGACCCGGCATTATGTTCAGAAAGACGGGCTCAAGCGAGCTTATCTTTGGCATGCTCAGACAAAAGCTGCAACATGGCAATCGACGGATCATGTGGGGTTCGACAGCTGCCTTCGGCTCAGCTGCTTGCAAGACGAAGGCGACACAAGCATGGCCGTTCAGATGGCCAATCACGGCCTCTCCATCATGATCCATAGAGATTCCATGCATAAGCTCCACCGCGAAGAATGTTTGGCCGCTCAAGACGTTCCCGAGGTCGCTCTCTCCAAGAAGCAGGTGCTCCTGATCATGAAGTACGACAAGGCTCCGTGGAAGACCTCGGCCTTCGGCCGACGGTTGCGGGAGGCGAGGGAGCTTGTGGAGGCGATCCCGTGCACGCACCGGCTGGTGCAAATGGTCGCTCCCGGCATTCTCCACGATTTGGGGATGGACCCGGCCTCTCCTCTCGAGGCAGTGAAGGACGTTCTCGTCAAGTACGCCAAGGGTCATCTGGGCACAGGGTCAGACCATAGTTCCGGGAGATGGGCCGATTATGTGGATTCCTTCGGGCGGCTCCGCAAAGAGTGGCGCTTGCGGCTCTTTTTCATGCTCTGCGGCTCTTTTTCATGCTCTATGCGGACGTTCTGGAAGGCAAGAATCCGCTGCACTGCCTGGCCGCTCGCACGGACGATGACAAGGCTCTTGGCCCTCAGGTCATCAAGGTGCCTTGGACACAGAACTTGGCAGGTTTTCGGAATGTCTGACAAATAATCGGTTCGCTTCCTGATCTGCTGTTGCCTCCGAGGTCTTGCTTCGGCCTCTCTCTTTCGCCTACGGCAAGTCTGCTTTCCACGTCTTGCGGCCGTTCCGCACGTTCCAAGCAACAGAGGTGCCGTGTTTTGGGACATGTATTTTTATTTCTTCTTGACAAATGAAACCTGTTGGGTTTTCAGGTTGTCTGCTCCAGGCTGGAGGGGATGGCAGGGTTTCCGCCTTCGGAATTTGCAAGGCAGAATTTTTTTCCGCTGCGATACGTGTTGGAAGACACGCCCTTGTTATCTTCGAGTGCCAGACTGAGAAAATACGGCAATCGCACCTTGCTCTGTCGTGACTTCCTGACTGTGTTGAGGCACAGTCCAAAAATCAGTACCTTCTTTGACTCTCTTTGACTGGTTCGAGAAAAAGCCGCAGCGACCCCCGCAGTCAGGCTTTACGCCAACAGCCAGCAGAAGCATAGAATCTAAAAGCAAGCCTTCTGTTGCAATCCCGCCTTGCTCATGAAGAAGTGTGGGTGGGTGTGTGTGTGTGTGTGTGCAGCAGGGATCCTTTGCTCCGGTTTGTTTACGCCGCTGTCAGTGCATGGAAACGATGCACAATGTTGCCTACGAACAGGTGCAGGTCGAGAAGACACCCGAGGGGGCCGCTCGCATGAAACGGTACATCGCTCTGGAGTGGCCCAACTTGGTCTTGTCTATCATGCAATCCGCCTTGGACCGCCATCATCTCGAAGACATCGTGTGGAACGTGGATCCCGAGGACGTTCCTTCATTGCTGAATGTGCATTTCAAGCACACCGTGGCCACTCTGAGGCGGCTGGCAGAGTTCGGGCTCCTCTACGGGTCGTTCCCATGGCGGTTCTTTCTGGTGTGCGACAGCGATGATCACGTGGCAGCCCGGACGCTCAAGGAGATGAAGGACGAGTGGACGTTCCTGCTCCGCCAGGAAGAGGCCGCTCCGAATGCTCATGGATCCTTTCCATTGTCGCAGGTCATCTGGTTGCGGTGGCGAGTCTACCGGGAAGTCATGACCTTTGCGGAGGAAAGGGACTTCCGCCTGTGCGAGGAGGTCCGGCAGCTCATCAAGGCCTACCAGGCCTCTCCGAGCTCCACGCTGGGATGCGAAGACGCCTTTCGGTCGCTCCGGAAGGCCGAAAGGAAGAAGGGCGGAGGAGAGGCCGCTCCATCGCAGCTGCAGGCTCAAGCCGTGAAGGCTTGCAGCGAGAGGTTCGGTGGAGACGGCGGGTTCCAGGTGGCCGAGGTCGCTCCTTCGCAGATCCACTCGATCCCGGTGAAGCAGACTGTGAAGGCCAGTGTCTACACGGCCGCTCGGAGCACAGGACCTGAGACTGGACTCTCTTTCTTTTCGGGCATGGTACGTGAGGCGACTGTCAGCCCTTATTTCCTCACACGGAAATGCATCAACCTCTGGAACATGTTCAAGCGGAAGGAAGGAGATCTGTCAGACGCATGGCTTGCAGAGTTGTCCAGACCCGGGCAGGCGCCTGTCTTGTCGATCACGAGTGACCGAAAAAACTAATTTGACCTGTTATGTTGAAGGAAGACTGGTGACCAGTGAGAAGATTTGCTTCAAGATGCTTTTTCCTTGTCTTTGCAACGAAAGGTGCTGAACGCCGGCCGCGACTACTGGTTGGTCGTGGACGCTCCCTACGTTCTCTTGAGAGTGTGGCCCCTCAAAGTGCACGAGGAGTCCTTCGACGGCGGTCGCGAGATGGTGGCGGTCGTTCCCACAAACGAATGCTATTTGCAGGACTTTTGGGGGTATCGCTGGAAGAAAGACAAGTTGTCTGCCTCCGGTGCGAAATAGGAAGGTGCTCCATGTGGCAACCTAGATGTAAATCTAGCAAAGAAACAAACGTAGGCAGTCTACTTTGCGACATAAAACGGCACATGCATGGAAACTGCAGTGAGACGCCTTTCAGGACGTTTCTCCACCGAAGTTGGAGGATTCCAACGTTTGTGGGGCCGTTCCAGTGCTGCAGGGCGGCAAGATGGTTCTGAGGCTGGGGACCCCGACGCCTTTGATGAACCATGCCCTGCAAAACTATGCTTCCCGTTGCTGGGCCAAAGATTAACACTTTTGGATGGCTATGCTCAGATTTGTTCATAAGCTTCCCTTTTGATTTTGGGCCCGAGCTTCCCTGCAACCAGAACCAAGGCCTGTCGTTCAATTGCCTGAGGCAGCTCTGCAGCTTCTGCAATGTTCGGCCGAAGTCTACGAAGAAGAGCTGTGCCGAGGCCGTTCTGGCCCACCTGGCTTATACCAAGGAACAGATGGACGAGATCTTGCGGACGTTCAAGTCCAAAGGCAAGGAGGAGGAGGCCGAGGACGAAGAGGATGCGGTGCAAGAAGGCGAACCGGTTTTGGGTGTGGACACAGTCTGCGAAGCCAAGATCTTGAGCAAACTCTTGCAGAAGCTGGAAGAGACGGAAGCTCAGGAGACGCCGAACAAGTCCGGAATGCCGGAGAAGGCCGCTCAGGAAGCAGCAGGACACGGACCGTCCGAGCAGGAGCCCGCTGAGCCCGCTCCGGCCGAAACAAAGCGGCCCTCCCCTGCGACTGCGAGCGGCGGAGTCGTTCCTTGGACGGAGGCCGATCGTGGTGTTCACGATAGGCCCGATGTCGCCAAGGAGAAGATTCCGGACAGGTGCAGGCTCGCCATGCACACACCTGACAACGCCTCGCCTTTCATACAGGGACATCTCCCCGCTGATGAGACTTGGAGGGGCCGTTCCAGCACCTCCCGTGCATTCCGGCCACTCAGCAGTGAGCAAACAGTGCAAGGTCGTGCAACCAGAACATACGACTCAGCTTTGGCGGAAGTTCTCGAGTTTCTGTGGTCCTGGCACGAGGCCAAGACTCATTCCTCGGCGGATTTGGCCGCTTCTAGTACTGCGGTTGATCATCCAAAGGGCGACGGGGTCCCGGATCCCTCTCCCGCTTCCGAAGCGCCTCGCAAGAAACGCAAGGTTTCATAGTTCTGGAAATGAAACATAAGCAATGAGTTCTGCCTAGGCTTAGCGAACAACGAATGGGGTATCTTCTTGCTTTCTGGGGCCGTTCCCCACTCAGCATGAGCAAAGCTCGTCGAGCTGAGTGGTCTTTGGGCAAAGTTCCGGTGCTGTGACACCACGACACCAACCTGGGGCTGGGGTAAAGATTTCGCTGCGAAATGGGTCCGGGGTCCAAGTTGGGTTCCTGTCCTGAGCATCGACTTGCTGCTAACTAGTGGATTGGGAGGACTGGCCGACTAGTGACCAGCCCATTGCTCAGTGCTGAAGCATTTGTCTCAGTATGTTCATGAGCGGTGATTCACATCTCCGTTTTGAACGCAGAGGTTTTCATCACGTGCCATAGAACATTGCTGCTTAGCACTGCCTAACCTGCCTCAGAGCTCGGCTGGGCTGGGGATTGCATCTTCCGGCGACGTCTGCTACGAGCTTAAGCCTAGGTTCCTGGAGTTGGAGAGGAATCATCCAGACATGCATGGTCGAGGGTCCGTGGAGTTAAGAGTTACATGGCTCTCAGTTAAATTCAGGTCTCAAGTATAACATCGCATCATACGCCGAAGAACCTGCCCTCCCGATTTAGGGTTTAGGGTTTACTGTAGGGCATAGGGTTTAGGGTTGATGGTTTAAAGAAGACCAAAGCGCAATCTTCTGAGCCATATATAGAAGTACAGTTGACGCCCGGTGTGTTTTTCTATGCTACGATTCCCCGCAGCATTACCCCAATCTAAAGTCTAAACCCTAAACCCTCAAGCCTTAACACTAAATGAATGCAGGCATCTCGGAATCTTCTGATGACTGCTGCTGTGCCACTTTGCCGAAACAAGGACCTGCAGTGACTCTGTTCGATGTTCGAGGTTTCTTGTGTTAGAGTGAACATGGACAGTACGACTCCTTGTGCACTAGTGTTGTTGCAACTTCCGTTTTCGTTTCGCTTGCTTGCTTTCTTGGTTGCTTGATCGCTTGGTCGCTTGGTTGCTTGGTTGCTCGCTTGCTCGGTTGCATGACTGCTTGGTTGCTTGCTTGGTTGCTTGCTTGGTTGCTTGGTTGCTTGGTCGGTCATTCCGTCGTTCGGTCGGTGAGTGGATCAGTCGGTCGTTCGGTCGGTGAATCGGCCGGTTGGTTGCTTGGTCGCTTGGTTTCGTTTCTTTCTTCGATCGTTGGCTGATTGGGCATTGGTCTTTGACTTTCTGGGTTGGCTCTTGAACTTGTGGCTGGAGGTCTATGTTCCGAGGAGTGTGACTGATGTGATGTTCTGCACACGCCCTACCGATGGGGAGCCAAGCCGCACGAAAGAGAGCTCCTCACACACCGCTGGCCTGGTGTGGGGCGACGGCAGCGACGGCCGGATGATCCGGCCCCTTGAGGCCAACGTGCTGTGCCGGAGCACATGACAGCAGGACGATGGGCTAAAGTGCCTGCTGGGGGACCGGATCACGCATCGCTTCGGCGGGAATCTGCCGAAAAGTTCAGTCCGTCAAGAACGGGAGGCCTCAGCTTTCGCATTTGTTTCGTTGCTTCCTGGCTTCCTTGCTTGCTTCGTGTCTTCTTCGTGAGTTGGTTCTTCGAGTGATTGTTTCGCTCTTGGCTTGCCACGTGTGTTGCTTTCTTGGAAAGTCGCGGGGTTGCTTGATAGCTTGATTGCAGGGTTCGTTGCTCGATTGCTTGGTTGCTTGGTTGCTTGCTTGGTTGGTGAGGTGGCTCGTGACTTGGTCGCTTCGTCGCTTGGTTGCTTGGTCGCTTCGTGGCTTGGTTGCTTGGTTGGTGGATGCTCGATTGCAAGACTGCTTGGTTGCTTGCTTGGTTGTTTGGTTGCTTGGTCGGTCATTCCGTCGTTCGGTCGGTGAGTGGATCAGTCGGTCGTGCGGTCGGTCCATCGGTCGGTTGGTTGCTTGGTCGCTCGATTTCCTTTCTGATTGTGTTGAAGGTATCTAGAACATATGATACGCAGGACAAATGCTGAAACGATTCAAAATTTGCAACGATTCGCTGCAGAACGAGGCCTGCGAATGTCGGCTGGGGCTGGTTGCATGTATGCGGTGTCTGGTATTTGTTTGTTGGCAATCTCTTTTCGGACGTGCTAAACATAGCGAGGTAGCTGTGTTCTTTCCTGCACGTAGACACGGTGGAGTTTCGGTCGGTGCTTCCTTAGCCAGTGACGAGAAGTGTTCGATGTAATATCTTGCCGCTTTGGACTTCTGTAACTGAATCATAATGCCATAAAGTAGTGACATTCTGTGCCTGACTCCTTGAAGGCCTGTGCTTTCGTGCTGCTGACAGAAATCCTGACTTTCCAATTCCCAGGTTCAAGCCCTTAAAAACCTCGGTATCACCCCCATGCCCTGCGGCAAGCACATGACAGATTCGATGAAACAGTGGCAGAGCCATCCTGGTGGCCGTAATGTTGAGTATGTATCGGGGCCGTGAGTTTCTCCTCGTAATAAGTACGCACATGGCAATGGAGGATCAGAATCATTTCCGAAAAAATATGCATCCCGAGCAGATTGCTGCTTTCTTTGACTAGACATGAGGAACCTGTGGCTCTATATTCAAATTCCTTCGAAGCAGCATCATAGCCATAGTGTATGTTTTGGTTTGGGACACAGGAAGTGCTGATGCTGCTCAGCAAGACACGCGGCGATCTGAGAGAACTTGATCCTGTAAAGCACATGTGCCCATGCTTGATGCTTCAGTTTCGGAAGCTTCCGTGACATGCGATGCGACTTCTGTCCGTGTCAGCTCCATCGTTTCATCATCAGTCTAGGGCGATCCTTGAACCGTTGAGCGAAAAGGCTTTGAAGGGTTCAGACAGATGTCCATTCTGAAGCAATATCCTGAGCTGTGAAAACAGTTTAACATTCCTAGCTGCAGGGTTTGCCTCGGGCTTGGTCATTGCTCTGCCGTGCTCAGGTCGCTTCGCTGCTGGCTAGTTGTATCTGTCGAAGACGAGAAAAAGGGCCTCTACAGATGGGGGCATGTGGGTTTCAGTCGCTCAGTGCTTACAAACTGGGTGGCCATGTTCAGTTTTGAGATGCTGAGCCAAAGCTCTTAAACAATGCCTCAGTCCCATGGCCGGTCCAGTGCATGTTTTCGTAGCAAGCGGACAACCAAGCCAGAGACATCGAAGCCCCAAACGGGAACCAAGGCCTCAAGCCAAGAAAAGCTACGCAGCTACAAGGAAAAGCTACACAGAAGCTCCCGTCAAGCCAGTAAGCCACCTGCGATAGCTGGACAACTACACCGTAAAAGCACGAGGCGAGCTTCAAGCCAGAACCAAACAGAACAAGAGCCGAGACATCAGGCAACCACCGAGCCAAGCACCCAAGCCACAGCCCCTACACAAATCCAAATTGCCTAGAACCACAGCACCCGGAGCCACGAAGCCACACCCGGCAAGCGGAAGAAGGAACAGACTAGCCAACAGCCGCTTCTGGACATGAGCTAACATGAGAATGGCAACAGCCCTCGATTCCCTAATACAAATCCACGAAGCCACCAAGCCACCGAGCCACCAAGCCACCGAGCCACCCAGCCACCAAACCACCAAGCCACCGAGCCACCAAGCCACCAAGCTCCCAAGTCCCCAACCCCCAAGCTCCAACCCCCAAGCCCAACCCCAACCGCCAACACCAACCACCAACCCAAGCACCAAGCCACCAAGCCACCAAGCCACCAAGCCACCAAGCCACCAAGCCACCAAGCCACCAAGCCACCAAGCCGCCACCAAGCCACCAAGCCCAAGCCACCAGCCACCAAGCCACCAAGCCACCAACCCCAAACCCCCAACCCCGAAGCCCAACCCCAACACCCAGCACCAAGCCACAAGCCACCAAGCCACCGAGCCACCAAGCCACCAAGCCACCGAGCCACCAAGCCACCAAGCCACCAACCCCCAACCCCCAAGCCCAACCCCAACACCCAGCACCAAGCCACAAGCCCACAAGCCCACAAGCCACCGAGCCACCGAGCCACCGAGCCACCGAACCCCACCGAGCCACCAACCCCACCCCACCAAGCCCAACCCCAACACCAAGCACCAAGCCACAAGCCACCAAGCCACCAAGCCACCAAGCCACCAAGCTCCCAAGTCCCCAACCCCCAACCCTCAAGCCCCAACCCCCAAGCCCAACCCAACAACCCCCAACACCAACCACCAACCCAAGCCACCAAGCCACCAAGCCACCAAGCCACCAAGCCACCAAGCCACCAAGCCACCAAGCCACCAAGCCACCAAGCCACCAAGCCACCAAGCCACCAAGCCACCAAGCCACCAAGCCACCAAGCCACCAAGCCACCAAGCCACCAAGCCACCAAGCTCCCAAGTCCCCAACCCCCAAGCTCCAACCCCCAAGCCCAACCCCAACCGCCAACACCAACCACCAACCCAAGCACCAAGCCACCAAGCCACCAAGCCACCAAGCCACCAAGCCACCAAGCCACCAAGCCACCATGCCACCATGCCACCAAGCCACCACCAAGCCACCAAGCCACTAAGCCACCAACCCCAAACCCCCAACCCCGAAGCCCAACCCCAACACCCAGCACCAAGCCACCAAGCCACCAACCCCAAACCCCCAACCTCCAAGCCCAACCCCAACACCCAGCACCAAGCCACAAGCCCACAAGCCATCAAGCCACCAAGCCACCAACCCAAACCCAAGCCACCCAGCCACCGAGCCACGCAGCCACCCAGCCACCCAGCCACCAAGCCACCAAGCCACCAAGCCACCAAGCCACCAAGCCACCTAGCCACCTAGCCACCTAGCCACCTAGCCACCAAGCAACCAAGCAACCAAGCCACCAACCCCAAACCCCCAAGCCCCAAGCCCAACCCCAACACCGAGCACCAAGCCACCAAGCCACCGAGCCACCCAGCCACCAAGAAACCAAGCCACCAAGCCACCAACCCCAAACCCCCAACCCCCAACCCCCAAGCCCAACCCCAACACCGAGCACCAAGCCACAAGCCA